TAGTATCAGTAAAAATAGAAGTAGTAGTCGTCGCCGCAGTAAAATAAGAGTAGTAGTAGAAAGCGTACTAGTAATAGTAGTGATCGTAGTCGTCGTAGTCGTAGTGATCGTCGTACAGTAAACGTAATTGTAGTCATGGTCGGTAGTAGTAGTAGTGGCAGTAACCAAAGCATGAGACCCTTCGCAGTCACGACGTCTTACCCAGCCCTTGATTCCACTGCATGATCCTCAAAATCCCTGATCAGGGCAACTCATCTGGGCATCGTTTCTGGATGGGCTTGGTGGGGTTACACGAAGCGTCTAGAATTAAGGCAAACAGCAATCCTGAAGCTGATGATGCAACTCCGCCAGCCTTCTGACGGGCTCAATATGCTGCCAACACAAGGCGCATCTTACCAAGGAATCTGTCTTTTTTCCAGCAGCATCTCAGATGCAGAAAGGAACCAGGTCCCCTCACCACTATGAGTAGATCGTGAAACTCAGACTCAAAAGCACGGAAGCGAATGTTCTCATGCGAAGCTTGCCTCTGCAACCCAGGCTACGGGCACGCTGTCCTCACTCTGAGCCCCTACTTGGAGAAGTGATGTATGGTGAACACAACCAGGTGAAGGTTTCGCAGCCTGCTTGTGATCATCTTCTCCGAGCAACCCTCCGACAGAAAACCCGGCATGCCCAAGGTGCTTCACGTAAAAGTTCAAGTAAAATATGCCCTCGTTCGTGCGCCCATTGGCAACTTTGATCTGGACTTTCCCGAACTTGATCCAATTCGGCTTTTCGTGGAGCTCGCCCCGAGCTTGGAAACGGAGACCGCCAGCATACTTCGCATCGGCCCATGCCCCTGTGACATTCAGTTCTTGGAAATATAGATCTGCGCATTGTCCACCAAGTCGACGCGCGTCAGCCTGTGGATTGGAAATACATAAACCTGCACCCCCTACGCCTGGCACCCCCACGCCCTTTCCCGACGCCCTCGTCTCCCGCCTTCACTAATCACAACTACACGCGCGCCGAAAAGGGAGATGTCCCCCATCGGCGCCCGCACCCCCCACGCATGGCACTCCTGCTGCCCCTGGCCACCCCTATCGCCTGTACGCGAAGCAGCGTGTCCTCGGCAGGCTCCCCTTTGGGAATTTGAATCAGGACGTACTTCCCAGGCCTCATCAAATCGAATCGCTCACCATGGACGTTTTGCAGATGTGGATCGCCGGTGGCCGAGATAGATCCCGACGTCACTCCGGCGGCTCCGCCCATGGCGGGCGCGCCCGCGGCTCCGCCCATGGCCGGCGCGCCCGCGGCTCCGCCCATGGCAGGCGCGCCGGCGGCTCCGCCCATGGCAGGCGCGCCGGCTGTCGGGCTGGGCGTGGGGCTCGGCGTGGGGCTGGGCGTAGGCTTGGGTGTTGGTGGGGCCGTCGGGCTGGGCGTCGGGTGGAGCGTCGGGCTGGGCGTCGGGCTTGGCGTGGGGCTGGGCGTAGGGCTGGGTGTAGGACTGGGCGTAGGGCTGGGGGTAGGGTGAGCCGTCGGGCTGGGCGTAGGGCTAGGCGTGGGGCTGGGCGTAGGGTAGGGCGTCGGGTAAAGCGTAGGGCTGGATGTGGGGCTGGGCGTAGGGCTGGGCGTAGGGTAGGGCGTCGGGTAAGGCGTAGGGCTGGGCGTGGGGCTGGGTGTAGGGCTGGCGTATAAAAGGGTTAAAGTATATAAAAAAATATAAAATAACAATATAAAAAATAAAAAAAAATAAAAATAAAAAGGCTGGGGGTAGGGTGAGCCGTCGGGTGGGCGTATGGCTAGCTGGGCTTGGGCTTAGGTAGGCGTCGGTGAAGCGTAAGGGCTGGATGTGGGGCTGGGGGGCTAGGGCTGGGCGTAGGTAAGGGCTCGGTAAGGCGTAGGGCTGGCGTGGGGCTTGGGCGTACGGTGGAGCGTCAGGCTGGCGTCGGGCTTGCGTGGGGCCTGGCGTCAGGGCTGGGTGTAGGACTGGCGTAAGGGCTTGGGGAAGGGTGAGCCCGTCGGCGGGGCGTAGGGCTTAGGCGTGTGGCTGGGCGTAGGTAGGGCGTCGGGTAAGGCGTAGGGCTGGCGTGGGGCAAGGGGCGTCCCGGTGGAGCGTCGGGCTGGGCGTCGGCCTGGGCGTAGGGCTGGGTGTAGGGTGGGCGTAGGGCTGGGGTAGGGTGACAGTCGGGCTGGGCGTTAGAGCTAAGGCTGGGGGCTGGCGTATGGTAGGCGTCGGGTAAAGCGTAGGGCTGGATGTTTTGGGCTGGGCGTCGGGCTGGGCGTGGGGCTTGGCGTCGGGCTGGGCGTCGGGCTGGGTGTAGGGCTGGGCGTAGGGCTGGGGGTAGGGTGAGCCGTCGGGCTGGGCGTAGGGCTAGGCGTGGGGCTGGGCGTAGGGTAGGGCGTCGGGTAAAGCGTAGGGCTGGATGTGGGGCTGGGCGTAGGGCTGGGCGTAGGGTAGGGCGTCGGGTAAGGCGTAGGGCTGGGCGTGGGGCTGGGCGTCGGGTGGAGCGACGGGCTGGGCGTAGGGCTGGGCGTGGGCCTGGGCGTGGGGCTGGGCGTAGGGTAGGGTGTCGGGTAAGCCGTAGGGTAAGGCGTCGGGCTGAGCGTCGGAATGAGCGTCGGAGAAGGAGTCGCGGGAGTCGAGGATGCGGGACACACTAAAACCAATTCATTCCATGAGCCGTCCTCCTGTCGCACGAATGTGTTCGAATAATCGCAATGGTTCCATAGTGGATCTAATTGGCTAGCTGCGCATTTCTGATAGAACAAATGTCTGTTTTGATTCAAAATCTTCTCAGCAACCGACCACTCCGCTTCCGTGGCGTAGCGCAGCGTAGGGCAGAACGACGAGTACGAGGAAAGCGCATGGAGGCTGGAGCACCCGCCCGAGCACGGGGAAGCCCACAAGTAGCAGAGGCCGTTGACGTAGTAACAAAAATCCTCCACGCCTGTTTCCCGCACATGTCGGCGGCTGTTCGTGTGGGATTCATGCTTCCAACACAGGTTCCAATGTGACGGCTCCGCGTGCCCCGTGATCGTGATGTCCGACTTTGGTGTGTCGTAGCGGGCTGCCCTGTTGTACTTGAAAGATTCGTTGAACGCGATCTCGCAGCGGTACCCCGAGTCGGTGCTGCCCAACGAAACCTCCTCGGAAGGATTCAACATCACCTTGCAGGTGCCCTTGCCAGACCCGATGATGCACTCATCCTGCACGCTGCACGTAATGTCGCCATCTGTTTCGATTCCCACAAGCCATTTATTGTCAGCCGCCGCATGGAGGCCGACGATGCCAACGCCCAGATGAACAGCTTGGGCGCCGAGGAGTCCGAAGATTGCTGTCGCCAGATCCGCCATAGTGCCCTGGCACAAAGTGGAGCGTAGCCAGGCCCCTGATAGTCCGCAGTGCTGAGATGGGCAACAACTCGCAAAACCCCCACAGCTCCAAGCTCCAAGCCACTGGACTTCGGGGTGCTCTTGTGCAACGCCGAGCGATCTCGGGGCTCCTCGCGTGACTTTTCCGAACGCTTCGTGGACGTGGTTGGGAATCTGAGCTTTCAGCCCATCCTTTCATGGTCTAAGAATCTCGTCCTCAAACCCTTCTCAAGGTCCCTTGGGCCGTCTTGGAGACCTTGGGGGCTGACCCAAGAAAACCACGTTGCCTCAATATGTCACATATATATATATATATGACCACCTATACATATATATGTATACACACCTATCGATGTGTATCCCGCGTGGACCCCAAGCTGAGATGTCTTGCAATCCACGCGGTGCAGTCTGAGTGGTGCAATCTGTGTGGTGCAGTCTAGGTGGTGCAGGCCGTGCGGTGCAGTCTCTGTGGTGCAGGGCAGCACGGAGCAACGCAGAGCAATGCAGAATAATGTGATGCACAACGTCACAAAGCACAACAACAACAACAAAGAACATCATACTCAGGGATGGACAGACCTCCCTTTAGTAAAACGTGGTTTAGTGAAAACGACCTGAGGTCCAAACCCGGCGGGCGCAAGCCTGGAAAATGACAGCCACGGCGCCCTCTCGAGAACCGAAAACGGACAATTCACGCATCGACGTGTCACTGTTGGGGTGCTGTCCACTCCCGACATACAGCACGGTGCAAAACAGCGCGGCGACGGGCGGCGACCCAGCGGCCAGACTGCCCCACGGGGCCCAACCGCCGCGGCGGCGACGGGCGGCGACGACCCGGCCAGACCGACACCGGGCCCTGGCGGCGAAAGGCGACGACGGGCGGCGAGGAGCCGAAGGGACCGACACGGGGGCCCTTACCGGTCTGGAGCATATCCCTATCCCTATGTAGGAAGGCACCAACTATACACCAACACCGATCCTGGCCAGGATCACCCTGGGCCCAGGGTCGGTGTATACGCCCTCCTGCCTTGCGCAAGAAGGCATATACACCGATCCTGGGCCCAGGGCGATCCTGGGCCAGGATCGGTGTTGGTGTATAGTTGGTGCCCTCCGACTATGCTGGGCACCTCCTCATCACGATGCCAATCTTGGGGATTCCCCTATTTTTGGGGGGCGGGTCCCCAAGATTGGCATCGCCTTTGGGCGCGTCAATCTCAGGGATAGGGATACGTTCGAGGCTGGCAAGGCCCAGTTACCTGAGAACGCAAGTAAAAGATCGCAAGTGCAAACGCTGTGTGGGGAACCTTTCCGGCAAAGAACAGGAAGCGCCGCTTCTCTGAGCCTGCGTGCGCATGGAGTTGCACCTAACAAGCATGTGCGCGCATGGGGTGGAATCGCTGGGATCCCCTGAATGCCCAGATGGTTGCCATCGGTAGCTTGTGTTTAGTGGTTGCCTGCGCTTACCTTGGTCAAGTGTTGAGCGAGGCCTGTGCAGCCTGTGCACGTGTGTGCGTGCGCGTGTGCGTGTGCGTGTGCCTGTGTGTGTCTGTGTGTGCCTGTGTGTGCGGCTGTGTGCGTGTGTGTGGCTGTGTGTGCAGGGCGGGGGGTGTACGGCGTGCGTGCGGGGTGTGCTCTGGGGGGTACGGGCGGGGGGGTGTACGGTGGGCGTGCGGGGTGCGTTCTGGGTGCGACGGCCGGGGGGTTGTAAGGTGGGCGTGCGGGATGTGTTTTGGGGGAGACGGGCGGGGGGGGTGTACGGCATGAGGATGATCTGTGCGTAATCTACGTCTCTACATAACCATTTGCGTGCTGGGGGCGTGTCATTTGTTCTGTATTGCATGCGTTTTGTATTGCGTCGTGTGGCAATCAACGATGGCAATGACACTGGCGATGATGGTGACGCTGGCGATGACGCTGAAATGTCCATGATGGTGACGATGACGATGATGCTGCTGATGCTGATGATGGTGGTGGTGGTGATGATGGTGGTGGTGATGATGAGATTGACGATGATGCTGATGATGATGATGATCATCATCCTCGTGATTACGATCATGCTTGGAATGATGGTGAAGATGATGAAGGGCTTCTTGGGGTGTGCTTGGGCGCTCTTGGGGTCCCCTGTGGTGCCTATTGGAGCTCTCTACGGCAATTTCAGGCGCGTTGCAAGACGAAGCAGCAAGTAGTGCGCAGTCGACATCTCGATTTACCAGGATGTCTCCAGCGAAATGGCTATGTTCGAGCCTCGACGTCTCAACACGAGCTCTTCGAACTTTTTTTTTTTATCTGGGGATGTCTCGAGCGAAACACGGCCAGTTCCGAATATTCGCGACCCATTTCAACACCTCATTGTTTGGAGGCTGTCTCTAGCGAGAGCGTCATTGTTCACATAACATGACTTGAAACAACTCTTTCATTATTTTCAGTGTTTCGAAGACGTCTCGAACGAAACGCCCATTGTTGGGGGAACCTTTCCGGACAAGAACGGGAAGCGGCGCTTCTCTCAGCTTGCGTGCGCACGCGCGCATGGATTTGCAACCAACGCGCATGTGTGCACATGGATGCAGTCGCTGAGCTCCCCTGAATACCCAGATGGTCGCCGTTGGTAGCTCGTGTTTAGTGGTTGCCTGCGGTTGCGTTGGTCAGGTGTTGCGCGTGGCCTATGCTTGTGTGTGTGTGTGCGTATGTGCATTTGCATGCATGTGCGTGTGTGTGTGTGTGTGTGCGCCTGTGTGTGCCTGTGTGTGCGGCTGTATGCGTGTGTGCGCGTGTGTGCGCGGGCGTGTGCAGGGTGTGTGCCAGGGGGCGGGCGAGGGGGTGCACGGTGTGCGTACGGGGCGTGTGCCTGGCGGGCGGGCGGGGGGGGTGTACGGTCTGCGTGCGGGGCGCGTGCCTGGCGGGCGGGCGGGAGGGGCGCAGGGTGTGCGTACGCTGTGTGTTTAGTGTGAGTGGTGGATTGTTTACGTGGTGTATGCTCTATAAAGGCATTCATGCGCGGGGAGCGTGTTGTGCTCCTCTTCCTCCCCCTCCTCGTCCTCCTCCTCCTCCTCCAACTCCTCCCCCAATGTCTCCTCCAACTCCTCCTCCTCCACCTCCTCCTTTTCCTCCTCCTCCTCCTCCTCCTTTTCCTCCTCCTCCTCCTCCTCCTGTTCCTCCTTCTCGTTTTCTCGAGGATGTCTCGAGTGAGAACCTCATGTTTCACGAACAGAGTCTCAAACATACGATTTCAACATCGTAATGTTTCGACAATGTCTCCAGCGAAACGGCCGTGTTGGGGGGAATCCGCTGAGCGACCAACATTTGGCAATTTCGAACCAGGGGTCTCTCGCGAGTTTGTTCATGTATTCCTTTTTCAACTCCCTCTAATTAACTCCCATCACCCTCTCGTTCCGAGAAGGCGCTTCCAGTCGTCCGCCAAGCGAACAATCCTTTTCGACGGCGAGCCAGTTGTCCCAGGCGCTTCCAGTCATCCGCCAAACGAAAAATAGATTGCTATCGCCAGCCAGGGGTATCTCGCGAATCTGTTATATATATATATATGTATATATATGTGCATTCCTTACTGAGCTTCCTGTGATAAGCTCCCATCACCTTCTCGTTCTGAGAAAGCCCATCCCGTCATCCGTCAAGCCGTCAACCTTTTGCGGCCGCGAGCCAGGGGTCTCTCGCGTCTTCGTTTTTTATTGCGAATAATTCCTTATTCCGCTTCCTCTAACAAACTCTTATCACCTTCTCGTTCCGAGAAAGTGTTTCACATCATCCGCCGACCCTTCAACGTGTGGAAGACGCTGTCGTCGTCGCCGTCAGTCCCAAGAAAATTCAAGAATAAGGAAGCAAACTTCGTAGTGAAGTCGAAAGGAAGCACATTCCCTTTATAACTTTCCTGCCGGGGAGGGGGGAAAGGGGGGTGGGAGGGGGGTGGCGGGGACGGGCGGGGGAATGGGTCCCGGGTTGGGATATAGCTCCCCCCAAGCTCCCGATGAGGTGTCAGCGGGGGTCTTCTGGGAGGCCCCACAATTTGAATCTACATACATGCATACATACGCTATCCCCTTTTCGGTGTTTTAGCAGCAAAAATTGCCCCAAGACGGCCCCAGGGGACTCCAAGACGGCCCCAGGGGACTCCAAGACGGCCCCAAGCGTCCC